TCAACTGCACCAGTTGAATGAGTTTTTCTGGTTGATTCTTAAGGGGACCGGCCCAGATGAGGAAGTGGGACTAGGGGTCAAATTGAGTTAGCTAGCATATGATATAGGTACATGGATGAGGAAACTACCAAATGAGTATTAAATGCTTGCTATGGCTTATCTTGCAGCCGACGTGAGACCCGCTGAACAGCTGGGGAGGTATGTTGCTAATGAGTGCCCAGGTACACCCATGTGAAACCTTTCCTTGTTGTAATTGCGCATATGGCATTGATTATGACATTGCACATAGATATGAGTTCGTGAATATTCAGGGAACATTTTTATACCATTATCAGAAGAAAATTATATTAGTGATTTAAGACATTATTTTGTGAAATATTTATTTTTTTTAAATGTATGTTTTGTGTTCTTTTACACACAAAATATGTTTCTATCAACACTCCCTGGTAATATTATGTAGTTTACAAAGTGATCTGTATGTATGCCGAGTACGAAGCACTAATGTTTGAAAATTGCCGTATAAGTAAGGATTGAACATTACCGTAAGACGACTCAACAGTCGGTACATCACAGCATGGGTAAATTTGACTTGATTTGAAATTGGTCGTTACCATTGTTACGGCCAATTCTATATAAAGGTTACCTAAATGTCGGATTTTTGAACTTCGAATGTATAAGCGAGATACTGATAATTTCATATTGAAGATGAGAGTACCCCGTAAATCTGCTCTGAAATAAAAACTATATGGAATTTTGAGCTTGTAGTGTGCGCAGATTGTCTAAGAGTTGATAGCTATCGTTTCTGTTTTCGTTCCTGATAAAACTATATGTTTAGACATTTATGTGTAGGTCTTAGGTACCATTAAATTCGCAAATATCCCACCACACCTAGGTGTCTGTATGGAATTTATGCACTTCTTAGTAGAGATAAGGGTGCAAAATGGCTATTCACCAACTCTACACTTGTTCCCTTTTGCAATCTTGTTAATATTGACAATTTGAGGGATAACTAATATATTTTATTAGTTAGATTCTGAAAGTTGATGTAGGCCTATTAAATGAGGATGATTCATTTTTTTAACTTTAGGTGCGTGTTTTCACATACATATGATCCTCCTCGAAAATTATTAACACCCATTAAGCATCCACCCCCCCCTGTGTGGAGCATGGGAAAAATTCAACGACTTTAAGTTCTCGAATTCCATGTACTAGAAATGCTTTAAAAATTCTCAAATTGAACCACCATTGTATTCATGCTAGGACTTTATAATTAGGATGATTTAGTACTAATGTTGCCATCCACAGATCCTCATTTCTTCAAAATCAAAGTAAAAATAATAATAATAAATAAATAAAAAAAGGTTCTTATCTGGTTTAGATTAGATTCGAATTCCAGGTGTCTCTTTGGTAAAATGCATTTATTAAACTTTTCAGACAAAAATATCTACTTTTATACATATAAAAAAAAAAAAACCTTTATAGGAAAGTGTCCCTATTGAAAATGGTAATTGTGATGGACTTGATAATCATTGCATGGCAAAGTACTCTATGTAAGTTTTTATATATATATATATATATATATATATATATATATATATATATATATATATATATATATATATATATATATATAACATTGTTAGATTTAGAGAAAAATAACAGAGATAACGAACTTTGGCAAACTGCCAAAATATTATACGCCGTATCTCCGATTCTTGTTTCCATGACCTTTGGTACATAATGGGGCTTGTAATTTTCATGCGATGCAAATGCAGTTTGTTGCTTTTGCTAGAGCCTCAGAGCCCTCAGGCTATGTAATAGTCCGATTTTTAAATTTTGACCTTAATAAAAAAAAAAATATGATTTTTTTAATGCTGAAAAAAGACAAAAAATAGTCCTCTATGTCAACCAATCTTCCGCCAAAAAAAAAGGAAATAAAAAAAATCAGGCTATTTTACGGCTTTAGGCTAGGATAGATTTAACACATGAAGTTTTTGTGGATCGTTCAGGAAAGAAACTGTGGGCCACATTATGTACCGAAGAAGAGGGAAAAAAGACAATTTTTTCAACTCCCAAACCCCTCCCACCCCCACCCCAATGGGGATGCTGCCATGAATATGCGCCCAGGTACACCTATATGGACTTTTGCTTTTCGATCGTGCATATGGCATTAGATAATGATATTGCGCATATATATGAGTTTTTGAAAGTTCAAAGAACATGCTTATACCAATATCAGAAGAAAATTATATCATTGATTTTTGACAAAATATTTTATGAAAAAGAAAGAAGTTTTGTGTTTCTTCTACAAGTAAATAAGCTTCCATCAAGACTTCCTGGTAACATGTTGTAGCTTACAAAGTGGTCTGTATGTATTCCGAGTATGAAACACTAATGTTTGAAAATAGCTATAAATAAGGATTAAAATATTTCTGTTAGACTTTGTTTAACGGTCAGTACTTTACAACATCAGTAAATTTGATTTTATTTGAAATTGGTTGTTTCCGCTGTAAAAAGCACTTCAATATGAACAGCACCTAAAAGTCGGATTTTGAACTTCGGAGATATAAGCGAGATATCGATTATTTGATGTTGAAGATGGTAGCACACAATAATACCCACTTGGATATAAAAGCTATATGGAATTTTGAGCTCCTTTGTATGTGCAGTCATCATCCACAGTTCAAAAAGCTATCCTTTTCGGGTGATTCAGAAAAAAATATAATGTTTAGACGTTACCATAGGTGATAGGTATCATAAATATGCAAATATCCAACCACACCTAGGCATCTGCAAGATGCACTTCTTAGCAAAGATAATGGGTGCAGATGAATAAAAACTCTACAATTGTTTCATTGCAAACTGTTACTATCGAGAATTGTCAAAGAAAATGGTTTTGAGAGGGATAGCAAATATATTTTATTCCTTTACATATAAAAAGTCCATGTAGGCGTATTAAATGAGGATGATTCAATTTTTCAACCTTATGTGTTTGTGTTTGCATACATATCCTTGAAAATTATGAACACCATTGACCATCTACCCTCCTTGGTAGTACTCATACATGCTTTTAAAATTCGCAAATTGAACTGCCATGCTATATTCATGCTATGACTTTATAGCTAAGATGATTTTGTACTGATATTGCCATTCAGTTCTCCATTTCTTCAAAATTGAAAAAAAAAAGAAAAAAGAAAAAAAGTTTATCTGGTTTAGTTTAGCTGTCCCTATGGTTTAAAGTTTTTATTAAACTGTTCAGACAGAAATATCTACTTTTATATCTAACGAACAAACAAAACAATGAGACATACCTTTCCAGAATAGCGTCCCCATTGAGAATGATAATTCCGATTGCCTTGGTAATCATCGCATCAATTTTTTTTTTTTTTTTTTTTTTTTTTTTTTTTTTTTTTTTACATGTATATCATCATTAGATTTAGCAAAAATAACAAATAAGGAACTTTGGCAAGTGTCCAATATATGAAACGCCATATTCGTTCTTTGTTTTACACAAAGTTGGGAACCAATAACTGTTGCTTTCGCTAGAGCATCAGATCTTTGAGGCCTTGTAAATAGCTAATTTTTGAATTTTGGAATAAATTAAAAAGTATAGACTATGTAAAGCTGTAAAAAATGACCAAAAGGATACTCTGTTGACCAGTCCCCTGCCCAAAAATAAAAGGGAAATTAAAAAATCAGCTATTACAGGTCTCAGGATTCCAATGCTCAAGCGAAAGCAACAAACTGCATTTCAATCACACGAAAATTACAAGAAGTTATTAGTTCCTTAAAAAGTTAAAAAATAAAATTTTTTTGCGACTTTTGAGGGCGCCAATCAACCTATAGGGGAGGGAGGATAAAATTATATATGAGACGAAGGGCAATATATACTCTATATTATATAAAAAACAATTAATGAGTTATCTCCAACCGATATTTTTTTGATTAACAAATGAATAGAGAAAGGTAGGCATTTATGTTATCAGAGCCATTGTACATATTCAAATTTTATATCAGAGTATACTATTGATTGGAAAGAAAACTGAAGAAATTAATTGAGAGACCATGTATTTGAAAAATTTCCAATTTTTTCCAATGACTATAAAAAAGAAGAATTTTAAAAATGTGTTCATGGTTTGTTTTTTTTAATCTGGAAATCTATTCAACTTATTTCTGTCGTAAGCTATAAGAAAGCTAGTTTTTCCTGGTGAAAAATAAGCACAATGGACATGTAGTAGTCCTCTTGCAATGGATTATAAATTTAGTTTCAGGTTTGAATGGGAGGAGTTTAAACGATGATGTAAAATAGCACAGTGCACTGCCGAAACCCTGAATGCCTCTCCCAAATGTTGGAAAAATCAATGCATTTTGACTTTCTTTGCTCTACCAATATATTTTTAAGTAATCCTTTCAATTATTCTTGAAAAAATTACCTTTGCGGTACTTTTGAACTGATATCACGTTGCTCGTCTTTATTTATCTGCCTTTCTGTGATCCAGTTCTTCCTGCCTCAATTGTAGTTATCTCAATCCTTCTGTTCCTCTATCTCAATGTATTTATCTGTAAACCTATTGGCTATGGATTAATGTACTATCCCGCCATGTTTTTTTTTGTGAATATTATTGCACATATATGGCTCAGCCACCAAGGGGACACTCAGTAGGATTTTTTTTTTCTAGAGCTATTAGTATTGATAATGTTATTATTTTTGTTGGCATTATGATTAATGTAATGTTATTAGACTACTAATAACAATAAAGATAAGATGATAGAGATGAATATTTCTAAGGAAAAGAGTAAACAGGCGAGATGTATAGGACTAATAAATGACTTAAAGACTAAACAATTGGAGAGCCTTCTCTGTGTAATCACAACTAATAAACTAAATTATAGTAGATATGGTATGTATTCATGCCATATGTGATCATTGGGATAATTCTTCTCTCATTGTCACTTCCTCCCTCTATTTATCTGTATTTTTTCTATCTTTAATATTACAGACACCACTGGAGAAGGCTCAAGCATGCAAGAACAAAGGCAATAAATACTTCAAAGGCGGGAAGTTTTCTGAGGCTATCAATTGTTATGACCAAGCCATAGAGATGTGTCCACCTGAAAACACTGTTGACTTGTCAACCTTCTACCAGAACAGGGCAGCTGCATATGAACAACAAGTAAGGAGTAATTGGAAACAAAGTTGACTTATTAAATTATTTCTTTATTTTAAGAATATATTAGCTTAATTTTTTTG